AAGAGAAGAGAAGAAAAAAAGAAAGAAAGAAAGAAAGAAACCCAAGAGAAGAAACAGTCAAATCTCAAAAGAGACAATTCCTATGGGATAGGAAAAAAAAAACTGTGAATCATATATTTGATAAGAAGCTTGTATCTAGAATATATAAAGAACTTCTACAACTCAATAATTAAAAAAGCAAATACCTAACTTAAAAATGAGCAAAGGATCTGAGTAGACATTTGTCCAATGAAAACATATCAATGACCAATAAGCACCTGAAAAGATGTTCCCCATCATTAGCCATCAAGTAAATGGAAATCAAAATCACAGTGGATGCCACTTCACATCCACTAGGAGGACAAGAAGAATCAAAAAGATAGACAGTAACAATTAGAATTCACCAGGATGTGGAGAAATTGGAACCCCCCCTACACTGTTATGGTAAAATGGGCCAGTTCCTTTGCAAAAACATTCCAGCAATTCCTCAAATGGTTAAACAGAGAATTACCATCTGATTCTGCAATTCCACTCCTAGGCATATACCCAAAAGGAATGAAAACATGTCTACAGAAAACCCGTATGCAAATTTCATAGCAACATTATTCATAATAGCCAAAAAGTAGAAACAAACCAAATCTTGATCAACTAATGAAGAGATAAACAAAATACAGTATAACCATAGAATGGAACAGTATTCAGCAATAAAAAGGAATGGCATAATGACAGATGTTCCAATGTGGATGAGCCTTGAAAAGACAAAAGTAAAAGAAGCCAGTTACAAAAAATCAGATGTTATATCATTTCATTGATATGAAATGTCCAGATTAGGCAAATCTATAGAGGCAGAAAATTGGGGAGAAATGGAGCCTGACTGCTAAAGGGTACAGAGTTTCTTTTGGGGGTGATGAAAATGTTCTAGAAGTGACTGTAGTGATGGTTGCACACCTCTGTGATTATATTAAAAGCCACTGAATTGTACACTTGAAGTTAATGATATGGCAGGTGGCAGGTGAATTATATCTCAATAAAGATTTTAAAAATATATCTGTTTGGGGTGATGAAGAAGTTTGGGAAACAGACAGTGGTGATGATATCACATCATTGTCAATGTAATTAATGCCACTAAATTCTACACTTAGAATAGTTATGTATATTTTGCCCCAATAAAAAAATTTTTTTAAACCAGTGCAGAATGGAAAAAAGTCGACTTACCTTCCCAGCTTTAATTATTAGTATATCCTTTCTCTAGTAGATTCACTTTGTCCAAAGTAGGAAAATCCCAAATCTAAAAGATTTATATGCCCATATATATATAGGGGGAAAGTATTAACATGATTTTGAAAAATTTATTGAAATAAACCAATCAGTATAACAACAAAAAATCTGTAAGATTTCTCAAGATCAAATACTACTGAACATTCTGTTTCCAATTTTTTAATTTATATACTTTATATTTGTGGTTCTTTAACCTGCCTTGATACTCTTTTTGACTGATGATGTTTAACTGCTTTTCTATTTCCTGTTGTGAGAAAATAAACTGACTGTTACAATTCAAGTTTTAACAAATGGCATTTCTACTATCCTTTGCTAATTATGCTGTGGCTGGATTTTGTGTACCATTTCACACTACATTTACTCTCCTGCTTTGATTTTAGAGCAACTTATTTCTAAGAATGTGCATTTGTATACACTTCATTTTGACTTGCCAAACCAAATCTGATTATGTTGCTTCTGAACCAATTCTAGACAGATACTTAACCAGAAATGCACACTGATGTGAATGAACTAAAAATATTTAAATATATAGCACCTCTTTCAGGTTTCAGCAGGAATGTAAATGCACATATACACACACAGACCAAGCAAAAACAACCTAATGCATAAGTATAAAACCTATGTGTTTTAAAGTAAATATTTCTCTACAAGTCTTCCCTAATACACGGAGAATCATTACCTTAACATGATTATATTTGAATGTATAGCACTTCGATGGGCTTAGTTTTCAGCAAGTCTATTAGGACAGAAAGAGGAGTCAATATTCCACCATAGTGCCATTTTAGACAAAGTAAAGCATTAATATCAGAAGCCAAAAAAATGTAAATGTCAAATAGTAACTTTCTCATCAATCAAGCTTCCTTTAGATAAGTGAACACAGAATTTCACATCTGTGATGATTCATATATATATATATATTTGCTTTTCAATTGACAATCTTGAAAATCACTTTATCTGAAAATTTTGGTTATATGTTTTAAATTCATGAATTAATAGAATTAATCCTTCTAAGAAGCTGTGACTTGGAAAAGGCACCTTGAGACACAGAGCAATGAACACGGACATAAATTATGCCTTAATGGAAAATAAACTTGTAAACAATATCATGTGTAGTGAAATCTCAGCTTCTGTGACAAAAAAGAAATGTAATCTTAAACAACAAAAATAATTACTGATAGACATTAAATGCAAGGGCTGAGAGATACCAGAAACTATATTTTTTATGAAATCTTTTAAAAAGCAATACATTTGGGGCACCTAGGTGGCTCAATCCTTAAGCGTCTGCCTTCAGTTCAGGTCATGATCCTGGGGTTCTGGGATCGAACCCCGCATTGGGCTCCTTGCTTGGCGGGGAAGCCTGCTTCTCCCTCTCCTACTCCCCCTGCCTGTGTTCCTTCTCTCGCTATGTCTCTCGCTGTCAAATAAATAAATAAATAAAATCCTTATAAAAAAAAGCAACGCATTTATTAAGGGTACGCTTTGTTAAAGATATTTTCTTAAGCATTTTACATACTTAGCTTTATTAAATAAATCCTCACAAAAATTTTGTGAGGTAGGTATTCATTATGAATAGGCATTTCACACAGGCGGATGAAGAGATTAAGTAGCTTGTGCAAATTTGCAGGAGTAAGAATTAGAGCTGGGACTGGATCCAAGTCCATGCTCTCTCCATTAGACCAGTCTTCCTTCCAGTAGCAAACAAGCCTATCATTTAGCAAGATAATTCAGTAGCATCAGCTATTACAACTACAAAAGGGCTCAGGGAATACCACATTCCTGCAGTCTGATTGGTTCAGCTATATTACGCAGATAAGAAGGAGAAATAAAGCACTTAGGCATGGCAATCCTTACTTTGCCAAGTTTTGGCACAGGAGAACAAACATGGAAAGAATCAAAACGAAATTAAATTCAACCTTCACATTTATGTGTCTTAAAAGTTCTATGAATCTAGACAGCAGAGACAACTTAATGAGAATACATGGAAAATAGGATGCAGGTTTTGTGCAAAGTCCTTCTGCTTGGATTCTGCATGTTGTATATTCCCCACTCTGTGTGTATTTTGTACAGGTGTTTGAACATGTCTTTTATAATTGTACATTAAGAAAAAGTCTAAAAGACAGTCCGCCCAAGATCATCTCATCGATTAACTTCATTTTTAGTTATACTGTGGTTTGTTTTTTGATTAGCAATAAATAAAAGGTATTTTCTAGGAAAAAAATATATGTATGTATACACACACAAGTTATGTAAGTAATACAAACAGGTGGGCCTAATTCTTATTGAAACACTTCTGATCTCAGCTTTCCTAACAGCCATTCTCCTCAATATTCCTCTTGACTCCTGCTGTTCTTTCTCAGTCTCTCATGAACTTCTCCCACACTACTCAAGCTCTGTTTTAGAGTTCCCCAGGGCTGGGTCCCTGGCTCTTTCTCAACATGCCCTCTCTATGTAATCACATCCATTCACAAAGATGTAAATACCATGTGCATTCTAGTAATCCCCAAATTTACACTATAAGCCCAAACCTCTGCTATAAAACTCCACTACTATGTAAAAGTTACTTTGTCCAAAAACTGAACTCGATCTTCCTCCTAAACCTGCTCCTTCTCTAGACTTCTGTATCCTCCACCCTGTGGCTCATACCAGCAGACACAGAGATTCATTCCAGGGTACCTCTTTGTCCCCATATTTAATCCATCACCAAGTCCCCCCAAACATACTAAACCTGGTCACTATCCTAGCCCAAGTCACCACCATCTCTCACCTGGACTATTAATTATTGCTTTAGACCACTTCCTATCCATTCTCCCCTCCAATAGCCAGTGAAGTCTTTAAAACAAAGAAACCAGATACTATTATTCCTCCACTTAAAAAACTTCCAATGATTTCCTCTTGTACTTTAGAACAAAACTCAAACTCCCAAGTCTTGTATGCTCTGACCTGTTCTCCATCTTCACTCCAGCTCTTTGCTTCCCTCCCTGTACTTCAGCGTTACTCGTCTTCTTTCATTCAGTTCTTCCAGGAAGCCAAAATCCTCACTGTCTCTGGGCTTTTGCACATGCTGGTCCCTCTACCTGGAATTCCTTCTTTTACCTCTTGCCTAGCTCATTCTGATTCATTCTTCCAGTTCAACTCAAATATCATTTCTCTGAAGAGGCCTCCCTAAACAACACCCCCCACACACACTTAAATGAGTTTCCTCTTGCAAATTCTGTCTCATAGCATCCTTTTCTTTCTTTCATATCTCTCATTACTGTTTGTAAGTAAATAAATATATATGTGTGTATATATATATGTGTGTGTGTGTGTGTGTGTGTGTGTGTGTGTGAATGCCTGGTTCTTCTACTAGGTTCTAAAATTCATAAACACAGGGACTATGTCTTGGTCCCCCCAACATAGCCAACACGTTGCATAGCATCTGGCATCTAATGGGTGCTTTATAAATATCTGCCGAGGGGCTCCTGGGTGGCTCAGTCGTTAAGCGTCTGCCTCAGGTCATGATCTCAGGGTCCTGGGATCAAGCTCCACATCAGGCTCTCTGCTCTGTAAGAAGCCTGCTTCTCCCTCTCCCACTCCCCCTGCTTGTGTTCCCACTCTCACGGTCTCTCTCTGTCAAATAAATAAAATCTTAAAAAAAAAAAAATATCTGCCGAATTAATTGGTGACGAGTCCCCTTCTCCACAAAACCCCACTCCCAGGCCCTGAAAGCAACCATTGTAACAATTTCCTTTTTATCTTTCCAGATATAAAAACATATGTTTAAAAGGGAAAGCATTCACAATAGCCAAGATATGGAAGCAAGCCAAGTGTCCATCGATAAGATGAATGGATAAAGAAGATGTGGTATATATACACCATGGAATATTACTCAGCCATAAAAAAGAATGAAATCTTGCCATTTGTAACAACATGGATGGGCCCAGGTGGTATTATGCTAAGTGAAATAAGTCAAAGAAAGACCAATGTCATATGATTTCACTTATACGTGGAATCTAAAAAACAAAACGAACAAACAAAACAGATGCTTAAAAGAGAGAACTGGTGGTTACCAGAGGGGTGGTGAGCAGGGAGGATGGGTGAAATAGGTGTGGGGGATTAAGAGGTATAAATTTCCAGTTATAAAATAAATAAACCATGGAGATGAAAAGTACAGCACAGGGAATATAGTCAATAACATTGTAATAATGTTGTACCATGACAGATGGTGACTAGTTATTGTGGTGAGCACTGAGTAATCCACAGAATTGCCAAATCACTGTTGTACATCTGAAACTAATATAACATTGTACGTCAACTATATTTCAATAACTTAAAAAGGGGGAAAGAGTTCAAACATGAGTATATTTTAGTACGTTTTCCTAGTACAAATGTTTACATTTAAATTAAATCTAATAAAAAAATTTTAGAAAGATAATTAAATAGAAGTAGAACCTAGATAATAATTACAATGTAGTAAAAAAACTGTTGATTTTTATAAAAAGTAAATGTTAGGGGCACCTGGATGGTGTAGTTCAGTTAAGCGTCCAACTCTTAGCTTCGGCTCAGGTCGTGATCTCAGGGTACTTGGATTGAGCCCTGTGTCAGTCTCTGTGCTCAGTGCAGAGTCTGCTTGGGATTCTCTTTCCCTCTCCCTCTCCTGCTCGTGCACACACACACACTCTCTCGCTCTCAAATAAATCAATCTTAAAAAAAAGTAAATGTTACACAGAAAGAGGCCATTCCATGTAAATCTTCAACATGTCAACAAACGTTTGCTGAGCACCTATTATGTACCAGGTCATGTGCTATACAATGGAGGTGACTCAGTAACTATTCAACAACAATTTTATCACTATGGTAAGTTTTTTTTTTTTTTTTAAGATTTTATTTATTTATTTGAAAGCACATGAGAGGGGGGAGGGTCTGAGGGAGAAGCAGACTCCCTGCCAAGCAGAGAGCCTGATGCGGGACTCAATCCCGGGACTCCAGGATCATGACCTGAGCCGAAGGCAGTCGCTTAACCAACTGAGCCACCCAGGCGCCCACTATGGTAAGTTTTAAGAGGCAGTCAGTAAGAAAAATTTCTTCAATAAAATTCTAATTATAAACCGATTAGTTTTACTACATCAAAAAACTAAAATATTTTATTTAGGAGCAGAAAAATGACTTTATTTTGTCATTTTACAAATGTACTGAATTTTTAGTAAGTTGATTTAAAGGCTTATACTTAATAGTCCCATTTTTAGAGGAAGAAGAAATGCAGGTTTTGCTCCGTCCTTATATTAATTGTAGTTAATGGAAAAGTTCACAAATGCTTTTCAGCAAGCCAATGGTGTCAGGTTTATTCAATTTAACCTTGGCTTAATAAGCGTAGAGAACCTCAACTATCATTCTAATTGTTTTAATTCACTGTATTAAAATTCTTGTTTAAAAAAACTACTTCTTTATTTTTTTTCCTTGCACTTAGAGGAATTCAAAGTTCTCGTAATAAGTTAAACACCTGGGGAAACTTCATTAAGCACTATTCCCTGAAATTACTGCTTTGCCGTGCAAAATGGGGGCTTTATAACCTGAAGAAGTTAATGTAATGTGCACTACTGCTCAGGGACTCACAGTGGCAGTGGGAGACGCTGCCATGCTATTAACTTAATTAATGTTTCCATCAAATGAATGGAGTGCAGGAAAAAAAAAGTCATGCCTAAAAGCCAGGGTTTAACAAGGACTCAGAGAAACAGTGAATTCCTGATTTCGGTACTGGCTGAGGAAGACTTAAAACTTATTTCTGCTCTCAAACGGTCTTTAATTCTCATAGCTACATGTCAAGACATAAATGGGCACTGGATAGAGTCCAAAGAAATGAAAATGATTACAGAATCTATTGATTGCTATAGGTAATAAACTATAAAAAGGGCTATGAATCTTCAGGATGGAAAGGGTAATGCCAAAGGCAAATTATAAGAGCAGATAGTGTTATGAACAGTTATGAAAGGTATGTCCTACTTGAACTTGTTCTCCAAGTTTCAAAATTCTAGAATTTCAGCTTTCTACAGCAAAGGCAATACCAACTTAAAATTTGAAACAACTGAGGATGAACCAAGTATTATTTTAAGCTGTGGGTAGAAAACATCAATCTTATAAGAAGTGGTGGAAAGCTAAATGTACAACAGTTTACAGGAGGATTTAGGTGATACTCGTAGGCGACAGGGGACACAAAGGGTAGTCACGGATTCTCACAAGACATTCTTTGAGGTGGATGAAAAAAAATATATATATATGTAGGTTTTGACCAAATGATGGAATTCTTTTGCTTCATTTTAAAATTTGCGACTGACCAGTTTTCAATTGAAAGCTTTAGCCTGCTGTTCCGAATTTCAAATTTGACTCATGCCTTGAAAGTAGTGGTAATTCCAGGATTTCAGGAACTTTTAACAATTATGCTCCTATTATGGGAAACAAAGGTGCTCACCACATAGTAATTAGATGCTTAACAGTCTTAACTTATTTAAGCTGCGTTCCTATTTTCTCCATTGACACAGGAACTGCAAAGCTTACTCAGATTTCTCTTCAGCCAAATCCTGGCTAACCTTCCTATGCTTCCCCTTTGTACAGACAAATACATAGAAGCTGAACAACTTTATAAGTTTCTCTAACCAATCAATTGGCAAGCTGGGTCAGTTCTTCTACTCTTCATGAATTTATCATCATCCCCAAGTGGCCATTTGAAAATTCTCTAATTTTGCAGATGATCATGAAATACCTTGAGTCGTACAAACTCAGGTTCCATTTTTTACACATATATATCAAGAAATACTAACTGCTTTTGACCCTGATATAAATATCCAGCGTTTCTAAAGCTTTTTGCTCAACTTGCAGTGTCATTAGAAACACCTGTCAGCTTCCTTGAGAAAAAATGGGCCTTGAAGAACCTAAGTTTTGCAAGTATTTCTGACCGTTTTTAGACAGCACAAGTACTGAAGTTAAACCATACTGCACAAGAGTAAATAATCACTTCAAAGAAACACTGGTGGAGTTATCATGCCTGCTACAAAGGACTGTTTTATTTTGTTGAGCACGACGTGAAAAGGGCAGGTGTGAGGAATGGGGGAAAATGCCAAATCTCCCCAGAAGTTACAGCAACTGACCAATACGGGGGGCATTTCACAGAGGCCCAGCAAAATGATGAGAGTGAGGCAGAGACTAACTGCATGGTCAGACCTCCAATGCCTGCTATTGCAGGTCATAACTAAGTATGTATATGGCCTCATCTGCGGTCTGTCCAAGGAAAAGTCTGATATTTCAGCAAACTAGGCTAATTTCCTAGTTTAAAAGTACATAACCTAAGCCACTTAGGGTGTACTTATGTAATAATTAAGCAACATCTGAAATACTTTAAAAGTTTATAACTCATATAACTTCCAATCTTACGCCCAAATAGTGGTGCTGAAAAGTAAAAATAGTTTCTTACCCTTTCTCCTAAAATTTCTGCCAGCTCCTCTAGGAATCCAAACAACAGGATTTCATTCCCTAGCCCCTCCTTTTTATTTCCCTTGCCCATTCTCTGTCTCACCTGGGAACTCTCTCTCACCTGGGAACACTGACCCTGAAGCCAACGGCTCCACATTCTCAAGCTACCAGCTAATTCCAAATGCAGCCATGTCAAGGCAACTGAACATGGCAGATGTAAAAGAAACCCAACAACAATAAAACAACAAAGAACACTGGCACTTTACTGTCCCGGGTAAAGATAGTGCCTCTTTTGAGCGTCAGCAGCCTTCCAGAGAGGATACAGGCTAGGGGTTCTGGCCGATAGAAAATACGAAAGCAGGAGAAGCACATAAAGAAATGCCTACATGTGTTGTTGCTAGGTAGCCACAGCCCCAAGAGCTCAGAAAAAGAGCAAATTATTGGTAAAGCTAAAGCAAGAAAATTTTCTTAATGCACAGCATGAAGCATAAACACAAGCATAAACCATAATACATCTGGTTAGAAGAACAAATAAAGTTCATTTATAGCCATTGCTTAATGAGTTTTCTTTACATCCATATCATTTTGCAATACTTTAATACTGAGGCAACAACCTAGTGTCAATTGACCTTGAACAACAGTTCATTAAATATCACCAGATCCTGCTTGAGCCAGTGGTTAGCGTCAAATACTACCCTGAGCTATCCAACTCAAATAGAGATGATTTAAATTTTATGACTTGATGAATACAGCAGTGATTTATTTTTTGGCACCATGGGCACAGGGAGAACAAGCTTCTGTTTTGTTTGTTTCATTTTCAAGTTCAGTGAGTCAGATCCCATACTGGAAAAATTTCATGAAGTATACTACATCCTTCCAATGCCTACTCTAGGCCTTGGTCATATGTTGAACATCTTTAAGAAAATGGATTAATTCTTTCAATAGCTACCTACTGTTTAATAGTCTACAGACCCTCTTATTAATTCAGAATAAGTATCCTATATATATGAAAATGACTTTTTTCTATTAGCTTGGCTTTAGAATACATTTTTGCAATTGATAACATGAAAAACTGGGTTATGTTGTGGCTTGGTTTAAGGTGCTTAGTAAGACAATGTCTTAATAACACTGTATCTTCCATTACATAATAATGGCTAATGTTTATTGAAGACTCAGTGTATACATGTGCTGGGCTAAGCCTCTGATAAGTACCATCTCATTTAACCTTTACAACAATCTGATAAATTAAGCATTATTATTCCATTTTACAGATGGGGAACCTGAGGCATATAGTAAGTGACCTGCCCAAAGACCAACAGCTAATTAATGTTATATACACCAGATCTGAACTCCGGTCTAATGAGCTTTGAGCTTCAGAGGCCAAGCCCCTGGCCACTAGGGTGGACTGTGTCTCACTGGGATCTTTTACTGTAATTCACCACAGATAATATGCAGGAAATGATTTGGTCCAATTAACCATGAGAAGTATTCAGGGGATTTAGCCTCCTACCAAGCATGAAGCACCACTCAGTAAAGAAAACCTAAATTAAACCTCAAGATAAGTTCTGTAAGTCAAATCTATAGATGCTTATTGAGACCACGCAGAAAAGAT